CCGTAAAAACACAACTAGTAAACACACACACACACACACACACACACACACACACACACACACACACACACACACACACACACACACACACACACACACACACATATATAACGTGGTTGAAAATATCATGACCAGACCACACACAAAATGAAAGAACGACGTTTCCGTCCTTCTGGACCATTATCGAGTCGTGTAATTCGCTCAGCCGTTTACTCTTTCATAACCACCAATCAAAACTTGTCTAGCGTTGTTACAAGCCAGTAATGGGGGTTATCGAATATACCGATTTCCAAAACGCAAAATTTGTTTGTATGATCAGAAAATAACAATATAGGACCTCTTGGCAGCCTCGACACGCTTCAGAATACAGAGACGATAAATATAAGCAAATATATATGGGGGCCGCCGACCGCTCCAAGCAACAAACGTATAGATCAAGATACCCCCAAGGCCGGGCTTGGGGGAGTAGAAGAACTCTCACAACCCACTGTGGGTATCACAAGTCATGCCTGGCCTTGGACCGGACTTGGGGAGTAGAAGAACTCTCACAACCCACTGTGGGTATCACAAGTCAAGCCTGGCCTTGGACCGGACTTGGGGAGTAAGCCCGGTCCGAGCCCTTGCTCACAACCCCGACTACCTACCTACCAGCTGTTGTTCAGGCCAAACACTAAATAATATTTCCCCTCAGAATTATATGTTACGAGTCACCAGAAGTGAGTAAGATGCCCAGTAACCGGAAACTATGGAGGGTCGCCACAATGGTCAAGAAATGTGCCATTAACTACCGTCCTATTGGAGTAACATCGATGATGAGAGGAAAGGGGGGGGGGGAAGAATGGAAAAAATTGACCAGATCGTCAACCAGGCCAGAGACCGGACCGCGGATACATTGATCCTTGGGAGGTTCAAGGTACGGGCGCTTACATTTCTAGAGCACCATAACCTAGTGACAGAAAACGAACACAGATCCAGAAATAAAAAGACTGTAGACTAATTTATTAACATTCTTCAATCATACACAAATCTGGGACTCGAAAATCACAATCGGTGTAGTATACCTAGACAGGCAGCAGGGCATCGAGGAAGTGCCACACAAAAGATTACTAGGGTAAACTCGGGATCCATGGAAATGTAAACTTCAGGCCTGGAGCACAAGACCGGTAGTCTAGTCTACCAAGCAGGTAGCAAGCACAACTTCAACAGTGGAGCCCGTCGCACACCTGAAGCTTGTCCAGCTATTTCCAACGTTTGCTGACGCCAGCTTGGAAAGGCTCCAGAGCCTTAACTAGTATGCTGGGTGATAGTCACCTCAGGTGGAGCCAACACCCGTCACCCTCCCTCACCACGTGTGGTGCTCAGCTTATCCCACATGTGTTGTGGAGGACACTCATCACCTCCAGACACGTCACTCCCGGCCTGGCGGCCCACTACCGGCACCCTGGCAGCACTGACGTACTACCCACAGCTGTGGTCAAGTACCCACATATCAGCCAGAGGCCACCTCTGTACATTGTTGGTTTGTGGTGGCGTGTTGAGCCCGAGCTTGAGCTGGGAGCACCGGACTGGTGTAGGGACGCCGGCTGTGAGGGCTGGGAGCACCAGACTGGTGTAGGGACGCTGGCTGTGAGGGACGTCCCACCGGTCCACGAGTCCTCACCAGCCCCCCCCGGGCTGTCCTCCTGAACTGTCATGCCACACGAAATATTATCGACGACTTAAATTGCTGACACAAAATGTAAAAACCTTAATCCCCCGAGTGTTTAGCTTTATAACGACACCTTCTTCCGCTACCATACCTCAAGTATTAAGATATTATTCCTGTGTATTCTATAATAAAAGCTTAAACAGCATAATAAGCCTCTAAACATTCCAAGAATACAATAATCTCCTCCGGAAAGATGTATAGAAACATGGAGAGGATTAATGTCTGTGAAAACCTTTTCTCACAAGAGGTTCTAACCCAATAGTACTTGCCTAACAGTGACTAAGGTGAAGCGAGATCTAGCTCCACGTCCGGCAAAATACCTACCATGAATGCATAATTATTTATCGCAAATACATAGATATTATAATAACAAAAATGTCTAACTAGCTGACAATATAATTATAAGGTGTGCAGATTAGAGGTAATTGTTAATGTAAGGCCGTAACGTTAGGTCGTCAGACAACAACATTATTCCCAGGTCACACACAGAAATCACAATAGCGTGATGCATCAAATGAACAAATGAGTGCATGAGGGAGTTGTGTAAAACCCTGGTTTGTGTCTCGGAGAGGCTGCAGGATACATTAAGTTCAGTAGAACTTCTGTTTCTACTCTTTTGACCATGTCGAAGCTCAGTCGATAAAGACAGCGTCTGGGATTATCTCGGACGTAGGTTCGAATCCTCGTCACGGCCCTTGTGGATTTGTTCATTCCCAGATCCTTTTCATGTTGCTTTCCTACTATGGGCAGATTTCATTGTGTTTTGTACCCTATATATTAAGATCTTCAGTTTTACCATAGCTCAGCAGCTGGAAATTATCACTATTAAACATCATGTTATTTTCTGGACGATATCCATCCATCAGTCTCAGTCTCCTGAGACTGATGGATGCCTACTACTACTACTACTACTATTTTCTGGACGAGACCCGCCTAGTATGGGCACAAAGTCCAGCTGAGGGGCTTACTCATATTCTTAGAGAGATAAATTAGTATTAAGCGCAGGTAATGTGTTTATGCTGCGGCAGGTGCGGCCCGGCCAGGCTGGCCTTCAGGTACCCTCACTATCCATCTCATCAACACAACTCTATACTCCAGAATATCATGACTAAGGCATGTGGGGCATGCTTTATGAATGAGTGGGTGGCGCCGTCTTCATGGGGACGAGTAGCTCCCTTCATGATTAAGGCATGTGGGGCATGCTTCATGAATGGGGAGTAAAGATTAAAAGTTCAGTAATGTAAGGAATGTGGGTTGTGTGGAAGACGGACGGGCTCTCGGTCAGCCTTACACGAAGGAGTCACGTGCTTACCAACCTGCGGACTTGACAGACTTGTACTGAACTGACAAGTCCCATCTTCAGGACATAAACTTTAATTAAGGAACATGTATTGTGTCGTCTGTTTTATTTGTTAGTTGAATGGCTTCTTAACAGTAATAGGCAGTAAATCTTTTAAACAAAAAGATGGTGTATGACGTGTGCATTAATTCAATGAGAGGTGTGAGTCGTGTTCTTAAAAGATGGAACATAACCAAAAGCACAAGTGAAGCACAAGCAGGTGAGCACATGTTTAGTCAGCCACACAGCCGTGTTCCCGGTGACGTCATCTCTAATCATTCAAGCATCGTTACCTTTCCTTTAGGGAAACTAGATTTGAAATTTACTGACATTTCCTTCTAAAACATGGAATGTTTTCCATGTTTTTTCCATGTTCCTTCTGGAATGCATTAAGTAGTCAGACAACAACATTATTCCCAGATCACACACAGAAATCACAATAGCGTGATGCATCAAATGAACAAATGAGTGCATGAGGGAGTTGTGTAAAACCCTGGTTTGTGTGATGTGGTGGCTGGAGGCAGACGTCATACACAGTTTCAAATGTAGATTTAATAAGAGCCTAGTAGCCTCAAGAATCTGTACATCAATTGAGAGGCGGAACAAAAGAGCCAAAGCTCAATCCCGGCAAGCACAAATAGATGAACACAACTAGGCGAGCATGATGGCAAGAGCCACAGTAGTCCAGGTGTGGGAGCGTCCTTGGCCGCCTCTGACTCATCAGGTCAAGCCCAGGCATTACTAAACGTAGCTCCTTGCTATTAGCGAAGGACAGATACATTAAGGAGTACCTTAGGAGTACCCCAACATGCTAGGAGGCTGATTGATTGATTGATTGATTGATAAAGATTAAGCTACCCAAAAGGTGGCACGGGCATGAATAGCCCATAAGTGGTGGCCCTTTTGAGCCATTACCAGTATCAAGAGCTGATACTGGAGATCTTTGGAGGTGCGACTGCACCCTGCACCCTGTACTAGGAGGCGGATCGAGTCTTTACTTTTAACAATTGTTGGTGCCCATATCTCAAGAAGCACATCAATAAACTGGAAAAGGCGAAACGGCATGCCTCAGAATGGCTTCCGGGACTGAAAAACAGGTTACGAGGAGAGACTATAGGAGTTAAACATGCCAAAACTAGAAGATAGAAGAAAAAAGTATTATGATCACCGCTTACAAAATACCAACAGGAATCGACCTAACTGACTAAGAGGAATTTCTGAAACCAGCAATTTCACGAACAAGAAGACATAGATTCAAGCTAAAGAAACAAAGGTGCCTAAAAATATTAGGAAGTTTTGTTTTGTGAAACACCGAGGTGACGGTTGGGACAAGTTAAATAAGAAGGTGGTGGAGGCTAAAACCGTCAGCTTCAAAGCGTTATACGACAAAAAGAGTACTGGGAATGACGGGACACCACGAGCGTAGCTCTCATCCTGTAACTACACTTAGGTGATTATACACATTCACACGCACACGGTTCCGGTGGCTGACTGGACAGCACGCTGGACGCGTGATCCTGTGGTCCCGGGTTCGATTCCCAGCGCCGGCGAGAAACAATGGGCAGAGTTTCCTTCTCCCTGATGCTCCTGTTACCTAGCAGTAAATAGGTACCTGGTAGTTAGTCAGCTGTCAGGGGCTGCTTCCTGGGGTGTGTGTGGTGTGGGGGAAAAAATAGTAGTTAGTAACAGTTGATTGACAGTTGAGAGCCGGGCCGAAAGAGCAGAGCTCAACCCCCGCAAGCACAACTAGGTGAATACACGTACGTACGTACGTACGTTCAGAGAATGTTGAACGTGTTTTCGGCTCAATTCGCCTTCGTCAGAGCAAGGTAGAGTGTCACTCTCTCTATCTTGTGTTTTGCCTCAACACGGGTCACGGACTCTGTTATGAGAGCAAGGAAAACAATTTCTAGACTACAGTATTAATAAGAAGAGTGAAAAGCGGGTACTCACCAGGAGTTCGCACCAGGCGACGTCGACTCCCGTGTCTGTGTCAAGGCCGCGGTACACAGTCTTGAAGGACCCACGACCGATCTCGTGGTCAAACTTGAGGAAGCGTCCGTCTGGAGACTTGTCCACCGCCTCCTCCGCTTCCTCCTCCTCCACAGGAGCACGTCGCTCCTCTTCCTCACGTTCATCTTTGTCTTTTTCATCACGTTCACATTCCACTTTTTCTTTTTCTGTTAGAGTACCAGCCTCTCGGGTTCTTTCTTCCCCTTCTTTCAGGACGCCATCGGTGTGCTCCTCGTCAGTTCTCGGAGAGTCGTCTCCAGGGGAAGATTTATTAGTTTTTGACACTCGTTCCTCGACACTATATTGTTTAGTAAGGACGGCGTCCCTGGCAGGAGACTGGCGATCCTCCTGCACACTATGGGAGCGCCGAGGCCGGGGGGAGTGCCGCCGACCCCCAGTGCCGCCCACGGCGGGGGGCGGCGCACTCGTAGAGTCTTCACCGTTCAGGGCCTCCTTATCCTCCTCCAGTATGACTGACCGTCTTTTGGAGCCCATAGTAGAGAGTGTTCGCCGGCCACGGGGAGACGGGCCCCCGGGAGACCGCAAGGGGGGCAATCCGGAGCGACGACCTCCCGTTGCCTCTTCCTGAGAAGCGCGACCCTCCACGTGGGAGGAAGCCGATCTGGAACGCGGCAGAGAGCGTCTCAGCGTCGAGAAGACGCCGACACCGCCGCCTCCAGAGTCCTCCCGCTGCTGCAGGAGGCCTTTGATGCTAGAGGTGAAGGTGGCAGAGGTTCTCACTGGCCGACGACTAGAGGGCGGCACAACTTCGACACCAGAGCGTCGCTCTCCATTCATGTTGGAGGTAGCAGTGGAGAGAGACGTTGTGGTGGTGGTGGTGGCGATGGGGGTGGCGCTGCTGGTGCTGCTGCTGGTGCCGCTGCCGGCGGCCGCTGTCGAGGTGGTTCCCCGCGTGCGACCTTTGGACATGGCAGGCGGCGACCCGGGTCCGGAAGCTGCGCCCCCCGCTTTCGGGGCGGCGCGCCACCCGCTACCCGTTACGCTGCCGCCGCCTGCACCGCCCACCCCGCCCACCACGCCGCCATGACCGCAC